TGCCCAGGAGCCGCCCCCCGGGGGAGCCGCCGTCGAACACCTCGATGGCATCGTAGGAGCAGCTGCCGCCTTCCAGCCTGGCAGGGACAGGGCGCTCGGTGGGCACCGCGGGCTGTGCCGCCTCCCAGAATGAGCCACGAGCCACGAGCCCGGCCAGAGCTGCAGGGCTCGGCCGAGGCCCCGCAGTGGGCACGGAGCCCCCCCTGAGCCCACGGCCAGCCCTCCCCCCCGGGACTCACTGCACATCCAAAAACTGGAGCTCCACTCTGCTGGCCGGGTCCCGCAGCCGAATGCGCCACACGCAGCGGGCGTTGTTGGGGTAGGAGTTGGGGTAGCCCGGGCTCTGGATGGAGCCCCACAAAGCCTGCAGTAAGCCACCACAGGAGCCTGGCCCTGCGGAGAGGAGCAGAATCTGGGCATGGGCAGAGACCTCCTGGCATCCCATGGCCGGGAGCCGTCAGAGAAAGGCCCCACCAAGGAGGCTCTGCCACAGTCCCACAGAGACCCTCCCTCCCGGCCCCATGGCACCACCCCAAAGCATCACCCTGGTGTCCCCCCAGCCCAGAGCATGGCCTGTGCTCAGCCTGTGCAGTAGCCCCAATTTGTGGGATTGGCCATCCAGCAGGACACCTGAGGCAGGTGATAACCAGACTCCTTAACCCCTCTGGACCTCAGTGTGGTCAGTGACACTGGGGGAGAAGGAGCTGGAACTGTGGGGTGCTGCAGGGAGAACTCAGCAGGTGAGCGAGCAGCATTTTGTCCAAGAGGAAAACCCTGCTGGGAGTCAGCCCTGTCCAAAAGCCAGGCTCTTTTAGTGCTGCCCATAGGGATCACAAGAGGCCCTGGGCAAAAACACAGGAGGTTTCAGCAGAATATAAGGAAACACTTTTTCCCTGGGAGGGTGACTGAGCACAGGCACAGGTTGCTCACAGAGTGTTGGACTCTCCATGTTGGATACAGCCAAATACAGCTGGACATACTCATAGGCAGCAAGCTTTGGGTGACCTGGCTTTAGTAGG